CATCTGCGTGGCCAGCAGATTTCGCTCTCTGAGGCAAGCGTACCAAAGGATATGTAGGTCCTTGAAACTCTTCCTCCTGAGTTCAGATGCATGCCAAGCGCGGCCTGTATAAGAAGAGGACGCGATTAAGTACAATGGATTGCGCTGGTTGCCCTCGATAAGCTACTGACCACTGAAATCCTCCGTCTTATGCGAAGGTTCTAGGGTGAGTACTTTTCCTTGCCTATCCTTCCTGAAGAAAGCCCATAGTCCATGGTTTGGATCCACCTGCACGTTCGTTTGAGGGCGGAGAGCTGGTCCGTCCGCCGAGGACCTCAGTGCTAAATCCGACGAAGAGCTGCTGGATGCCTCAGAGACAGTGGCCGCTGTGGATTCTGGAAGAACTGTGGCAAGGAAGCGTACTGTGGGCCTCAAGGAAGGACCTGCGCGACGTACGGCTGGAAGAGCAGAGCGGAACATTATGGGAGAGATGGGAAAAGGTAGAACTTGCGGTCGAACATGACGGTGACTTGAACCGCCACCGCCGTGACGCGCATGAAGTCTGACAGCCTGCCACTACCCACCACCTCATCGATGAGCAGCTACGGGATGTCATCCGGGGCCAGGATACATGATGATCCAGCTCCTCGCCATCACGTCCGTTGGTTCCATGCTGGACCTCCTTCCCTCCTCTCTATAGTGCCAACCGTAGTTGGCTCGGTGCCAACTTGGCAACCTCTGACCCGAGGGGAATCCGATGCATGTGAAGAAGCATGGCAGGAATTAAATCCGGAAGCCAGGTTCAGTGTAGCGAAACCCGGTGATCAAGACGCTGAAGATGACAAGGACGAGACCAGGGTGGGCATCCCAGTCTCGAACGATAAGCTGTTTGAAGTGGATGTGAGATCCATGCAGGTACGCTTGGATCTGGCTGGCGTGACTTCCGGAAAATTTATTTTGCTCTGACGCGCGAACTTCGACGGCCAAAGCTTAAACCTGTCTTCTGGAAGACCACGGGCAAGATCCCAGTGATGCGAGCGCAGTGGATGCACGACGAGGTGGATCTGTTCCTCCGATGAAATCTCACAGCTTCAACTTCTGACTATATATGTTCAAGACAAGACCTGTTGAACAGCCCCTCGGAGAGCTGTTGGAACGCGCATATCAGTGAGAAACAAGAGGTCCTGTCTCTGATTTCACCTTGATCTAAATGTACAGTACGCGCTTTAGACGAGTGAAGCCGTGGAAGGTGCGCCAATGCGCCTGAACCCAAGTCTCCTGTAGGCAAGCCGTGCCTGATGCGATATTGGCCAGGCATCGTACCCTGTTGAGCTCCAAACGGCTCTCGAGATCGGGGAAGAAGCCCTAGACAAGATCAAGACTCCGCTAATGCTGCCTTACGGCCAGCCGCAGCTCACATCAAAACCAGATGTGAACGTCGTCTTCGAGGACGAGGCAGTTGCCAGAGTTATCACGTTCGTCTTTCCCAACTTCTCATTGCGTCCACAGTCAATGCGCCTAATGATTTTGACAGTGGCGCAATTCGAAAACCATTCTCATCTATTATAACCTCATTTGCGAGTCGGAGTAAACAACAACCTCCCACCGTCGCACAGCTCGGAGGCTCAGTGTACTACAGAGGCAGTGATGAAGCAGCTGTTCGTGGCAGACAAAACCGCAGTCAGAGCCCGATGATACGGAGTCGATCACCGTCGCTCCCTCGACCACTAACCTCAGCATCCGGTGTTGTGAGAAACGCTGCAGGTAATGATACAAAGGTCAAGAGACCCGCGGGATCGAGAGAGTCGTCTCGTGAGGCGAAGCCCGCGCGAATAACGACCGCCGCTGGAGCCGCCCGGACACCTCCTAATGCAGAGATGGCAGGTGTTGAGGACCTTACCAGTCCAAAGGACCGTACAGGGTTCAGTACTCGTCCGAAGCAAACAAAAATTGACGCTATGGCAGAAATATCCGCTCCAGCGCTCGCGGCACCAATCTCAGGCGGAACAGCGGTCAACCCATCAACCACTTCAGGGACGCAAACGGTTGTGCAAGGAAGGAAGCAGGACGGAAGTCCAATGGGTGAAGTAACGGACCTCATCCTTGTGGTTCATGGCATTGGTCAAGGCGTGAGTGGCGGCACGAGCCCTGTTGCGCGGGGATATCCTAGCTGATCAAATACTGTGACCTCTCTCACTGCAGCTCACTGCAACATACGAAGCATTCGATTTCGTGTATGTTACTAATATGTTGCGGCAAATAGCAAGGTAGCGACGGAGCATCACCTAGACTATCGCTGCGCTGAGTCTCTGACAATCTTCACGATTAGAACCCAGTCGCAGTCCCCGGCTCTAGCGTCCATCATGCGTGAGAAACGAGTGCAGTTCCTTCCTGTGCAATGGCGGGCTTCTCTGAAGCTCGACCTGGGGGACGAACTAATGAAACAGCGAGAGGGGTTGGACAACCACTTTACGCTAGAAGGTGAGCTTTCCATTGACAAGAAGCGGTATATATCCTAGACCGTACGACACCTTGTCGTTCCTCTAGATATCACGCTGCGCAACAGTATTCCATTCGTGCGCGAACTCACAAATCAGGTGCTCCTCGACATCCCACTCTTCATGAGGTAAAGCCTCCGGGGAAATCCAGGAGATAATGTGGAACTCATCCTCGAGATACGTACAATATGCAGTCATCACCGAGAGAGGATGATCGAGTCGGTCTGCACTATTGCGTGAGTCGGAACCACCGAAAACCTTGCCTAAGCAGTGCCACTGAGTTCTTAAGACTCAAAATCCAGTAATCGAACTTATCGCCTGTGGTGCGCGCGGAACCCAGAGTTTGAGAAGCATGGTAAAGTGGTAAGCTCCTTTGCTCGGTACTCGGCACAGTACTCCCGAATTATGGCCTTCGCTGATATATTTTTATGTTGTGATTTTAGCACATCGTGGCTCACTCTCTTGGATCAGCACTCGTTTCGCACATTCTGTCGAACCAGCCCACCATCCAGCCGCCGCTCTCGGAAATTCCCCAAGAACTGAAGGACAGCCGATCTCAGTTCTTATTTAATACGAGGTGGATAGTAGCGAGGCGACTTCCCACTACAGTGTGAAAGGACTAAGCTGACAAACTTTCGCTCATAGCAATCTGTTTCTCATCGGAAGTCCACTTGGGATGTTCGTGCACCTGAATCAAGCCCAGATCATAGCGCGTAAGGTATACCCGAGGATCAGCATGTTTGACGACCTGGACCCATGTCGCTGATCAGGCGCTCTTATTATTGGACCGTAAGGGTCGGGAGCGAACACGGAACTCTCCATCAGATGAGGCAGTGGGTGGAATGAATTTAAATGCCTGTCCCCGGCATAGTGCTTACTTAGATTCAGCTCGACCGGGTCGGGATCTTTGGCTGCATGGCCATCGATGCTCTTTATAATATTTTTAATACGGCCGACCCTGTCACGTAGGCAGATCATCCACTCCGTTCAAATGCGAGACACAGACTGATACCGCCCCGCTAGGTACCTCCTTAACCCATGCGTTGATGCTGCGTGAGCTGTTGAATTTCTACTTCAAAACGTTCCCTGCACCTGGTCATTGACCCCTTTCACTTTTGGTGTGCAGCCGAGCTAAAGTTCTCCCGGCGACCGCAATCCCCGATGTCAGCGAAGGGTACCTTTCTACGTTCTCCAGCTGGATGTCAAAGATGATGAATAACATCAGTATTCCTGTTGTGCCTTCGACGAACCCTAAGAAGTGGTTCGGTGGAGGCGCCTCAATAGCTGGGTCGCCCAACACATCTGGGACGAACCCGATGTTGTCGAGTCCGAAAGGGGGGAGCAGTCCTAATGGTATTGTAGAGATGGAGCTTGCTTCTGACGGCATTCATGATGTGAGGGGGACCAAGGCAGAGAGACGGTACGTAACTTAGAACACAAAGCTCTATGGAGTTTTAACGGTTATTTTCTCTTAATCGTCTCCCCAAGGTTCTTGGCTCTCAACCCGCATGGGACCTTAGATTACTACCTTCCCCTCGCGAGCGGGATAGGCAGTTTTGGTGGTGATTACGTGGAAATGATGACGGTAAGCAGATCCGTTTGCTTAGTGTCGTTTCAGCTAGAACACGTATCTTATTGTATTCATACCAAATCACACCGCCATCCAAAATTTTAGGCACACTCATCCTACTGGACGCACGAGAGCTTTGCCGCATTCGTGATGGCGGAGATCTTTGCAACAAGTGCGGACTACTTGCGGACGGGGGCACTTGTGCATGGTGTCCAAGTTACCGGGGATTGACCATCGTGCCAAGTCCCATTCCGATTAGACGCGAATATATCGACATTGCTGAAACATTTGAGGGGATTTAAATATTTGGCAGGTAGGTCCGGCGCTAGACATACCTCGTTCTTGAAAATGGCAACATCAAGAATCAGCGCGCTTCTTGTTCAAGCCTGGTCGTTCCTTTGCTGCCCATTCGGACATATCTCTCGTCACCCAAGCGTTTTTGACCGTTCCAGACTCCCACAGCTCCACGGTCTTGCGACCCTCGCGTAAGAGGTATTCGATGGTGGTCACATCTCGCTTTGAGACTCCTCCTCCTCTTGATGGATGCCGAAACTGGTACTGTAGATAGAGGCGGAATCGGTCTTGAGCGTCTGGTGGTTTTGTTCGGATGGAGCGAAGACACCTGGTAGAGGAAACAATGGTTCAGGAATTGATGCGTTTGAAGAGGATGGACCAACCTCCGGTACAGCTTCAATACGTCGCTCTGCAGGCCCGATAGTTTTGTCATAATGTTGAGGGGAAAGACTGGCTCGGAAATCAGGTACCCGCTAACCCCACGGTAATCGGCGAAGCATTTGAAACTATCTGCAGGTAGCAATTGGGTAGCAACGTCCCAAACGTCGAAGAGTGGGAATTTTCAAAGCTCTGTACCATCGGCTATGTTGTTCAAAAAGGTTCTTTTATTTTACCCTCGTACAAATAATTAAAACTACCCACACCCACACCCACACCAATCTTCAATGGTATAATGGTAGAACTCACGCCTGTCAAATAGTGAGAGTCAAATCCCACTTTGATTGTGCGCGTGCGACCTGGGTTCGATTCCCAGTTGGAGAGCTTTTTGGTGCTCACTAAGTAAAATATGCACTCACAAACTGCCCCTCACTCTAAAGTCGTCTATGTCTCCTTTAGCTCGGTCGTCCAATTACCCATGAGCCATGAGTTCATATGTATTCAATGAGATACTTTGGCAGAATCAAGTTAAATGGTGCCTGTTCACGCGATTTGGCCTCATCCAACCGTCTTTCCATGCGTGCTCCAAAGGATCTTCCCATCCTCGGTCACACAGGACAAGTAGGGGGTTTCTTGGCTTCCCGAGCCCCATCGAAGATATTTAGCGGGCGGGTGGCACCCACTGGTGCCTGACCCCCAGAACGCACGACCGGGCTCTTTCTTGCTATATACAACCTGCCAAACGAAGTCGCATCAGCTTGTGACACAAAGATAGCCCGTATAGCCCAAAGATTTACCAAATGCCCGTCCCCTTGGAAGATGACACGACTTCCCAAGTCATTCTCAGCGTCTTTGCCCACCTCATGAGACTTCCATACAACCTTCCATCGTTTTTCATCCAGTGGCCATCTCGGGGTCACTAGCCCCGGAAGTGCTGCACCACCGACCGTTTGCAATATTACGAATTGTCCTAGGGGGTTCATCGTACTCAGCAGAGTATACTGGCTGTCAAGCGTTGTCTGGCAGATGTAAAGCCCATCCCCTTCCGTCATACGCCACTGGTAGCCAACTTCGTATCCTATGGGTGCCCAGAAGACGCATCCCGTGGTGGTTGAGGCGAGCATGAGGTGAGGCCGAGTATCAGACACCATCATGATGCTCTCCTCTGACTTAGGGGTCCCGGTGCTAATATGAGGCGTGGTTCCAACGGTACGTGGCATGCTGGGTGATAAGTCGTATATGACATTGCCGTGGTCAACGATGACGAGCTTGCCTGAGTCACGTTCGAGCACGAGCAATGCTGTCGTGGTCCCACCGATCCTTCCTGCACTCCCAGACTCCCAGAGAATACTCCGATCCCACGTACACCTCTTCAATCGAACACCGCCGTCCAAGTCAAACGACAGCTCAACATTGGTGAGCGATATTGATTGCCCAATGGGCAAGTACAACTGACCAGGACAAAAGACCCGATAATTCGACTTTCCCGGATTGATATCAATCAACCGTCCAATGGGACCACTGACAAACTCCTCCTGCAGCGACGAATTCTTTGGGCCTTGACCCTCGCGTTGATTTGAGCACACGAATGCTCCCGGGCCAATGTTGAGTGAACGGGGGTCCCGAGACATCTTGGACATGTCACCAGACACCGCCACGCTGGTCGCCACAAGGTTGTCCTTGCAGATCCAGTCCTCCACGTCAGAAACGGCGAAACCGTAACCGATTGCAGCTTCTTGTCCCCCGCTGGTGATGTGGTTGTACATGACAGTGGCTCCGCGGTTATATTGCCTGGGAGAGTCCTTGGGAGGGGTGAACCAAACAGAACCGCCTTGACCAATACCAATCCTGAGGTAAGATCCCTCCAGGCGGATGGTATTGTGAATGACCCGGGTGTTGAGATAATTTCCATCATCTTCAAGAATGGAAATTTCAATACAGTGGTTCCATTGATTCGTAATAGCGTTGCGGTAACTCACGAGGTCCGTAATCGACCATGTTGATTGCTCCTAATCCGACCCGATTGCGAGTGACGATCGTGTTTGAAGTCACCAGTGTACCAGGTGCGCCAAACAAGACTGAGGAAAATTAAACTATCAATATCACGATTTACATCGGGATGAGACGAGTAGTCACATACCGATACCGCCATCTGTTGCGTCTAAGATATTGTTCCCAGCGATGAGGCCATTCTGACCAGCATAGCTGATCCCATCTGCCCAGGGCATATGGTCACCTTCTTTGTCGGCATAGCCAGCAGGACCTGTGACGAGGTACAATTCTCATCATTAGAATATAGGAAACGTCGTAGGAGAACGCCTCGCATCACCAATGAAGTTGTTCGTAACTCGCACGCCTTCGGAGCCTTGAAAAACCTGAAGGCAGCTCCATTGCCGAGGATGTTTCAGGAAGCAGCTATCAATATGCTGGTTATGACCTTTGCCATTGCCGAGCTGCACCATGCAATCATTGTCCTTGCAGTAGCCTATTGAGTCAATTTTGTTTAGTGGGAGGTCTCCAGTACCAAAAACGCCAACTCACCGTACTTCTCCCTGCCACCGTCTACACCAATGTTCCTGATTCGGACCCCAGGCATGTTGGTGCCGCTCAGAATGTGACCAGTGCATCCCTCTTCAGCATCGAGCCAAGCGACATCATTCTCTGATTTAGGGTACCCCAAGGTCGCCAGTTCTTGATATGGCTTAAGCCATATGGTGCTACTCACGGACCAGCGAGTTCCCGGAGGGAGATAGAGGGTCGAATGCGGACCGAGATTATCGAGCGCCTCGTTAATCACACGAGAGGTATAAGATGACGGGGCGACCAACACCGTATGTTTAGAGAGAGGGAAGTGGAACAACTCTGGTGTCGGGTATGTTCCTGAAGTGTGCGCAATACCATGTTTGGGCCCCTCGTTTCCGGCAATGTCGCTGGAAGTAGGAGGAAACGATTCTGAGTCAACAGTTCCGATTTGCGGTTTCACTCCAATCGGTCGGGTTCCTGGATTGATTGAAGGTGGCATTGGTTGATTCTGCAAAGGATATCCGCCTTGTACGTGTTGAACTACGGAGCTATGATCATAGGGCGGAGACCCTTGCCCGTAGGAGCCATAATTCTGACCCAAGGAAGTGCCGGGGCCAGGACGGCTAGGCAGGGGTGGCGGAGGGAGCGGTTGGTTTGGCGACGTTGGATATTGTGGAGGAGGATGTTGAGGGTACTGCCCATATGGTTGTGTATTGTACATGGAAGGGCCCTGCTGCCAATTAGTCGGACCTGGAGGCTGAGACCAGTGCTGAGCCTGTCCTGCAGACGGGTATTCCCATTGACCAGCTGCAGGCGGTCTCGTCCCTGCACCGAAACGTGATTTTATTTTATTCGCAAATTCGTTAGCGAGGTTGTCCATATGCGCCGCGTGACCTCTGAATGAAGTGAAGCAGTTTCATCAAAGCCACTCCCTAGATGTATGCGAATCGTAACAGTGTCCTCACCTATATCTTCGATTGGGGCTCACTTGCTGCCGTTGGTAGTGGGTGTGTGCGAACTTCTTGGATTCGATATGCGGTCATTTCTCGCTGCGCCCGCAGAACCGCCTTCTTTAGTCATCAAACTTCCTGGAGCAATTACCGTACTGCCAACTCATCGGTTGGGTTATTATCAGAGATGCGCTCTTTTTTTAGTGTCATCAAAATATAGCATGTTTGTCTCTTCACCCATGGGCTTCTCGATAGGTATTCTGGGAATCTACGCCATCCCCACCTTGGCCTTTTAAAATCAATAAAATGTTAATCAACTCCTCCATTCTAACTACCTTCATGGACTTAAGCCGCGGAGAATTTCTTGACTCTTGGCCTTGGACGAAAGAGAACTTAGGGCCTACTCGTCTTTTGACGTCATCAACTTAACGAGGATCTCCTTTTCCTCATCAATGCTCAGATCTGAGTCAAACTCCTTTTGAAAATGGAGTCTGGCGAGATTCTAATGGGATGACAACGTCGTCGCCTGAATCTCCACCTTTGGCGACACTGCCAAATGTGACGAATCCCAAGCTTTGACATCTATGCAGAAGTTGACCAAAGTAAAAGTTTTGTCTTCAACTTGAGCTCGCGATTTTTGATTTCAGTGGGTTTGGGCCGAAAGAATTCAACATGCGCGCCAAGCGGAGGCTTTAGCTGCGTTATGCTAATCATTGAAAAAACATCCTCCACCTAACCCATTTTGCGGAGGCGAGCCTTGCATATCGGTACAATGCAGTGAACTATCTCGTATCGTATCTGACATCACAAATACGACCCAGCTATTGGTTCACGCTGTGACAAACAAAGGCTTTCGTGAGGCGTCATCGCCAATGCTTCTCCAGAGCGGACTCACTCTTGGAAACTGGTTTGTATGCGCTGTGGTTGGAGATGCGAAAAGCTTCGACTTCCTGCTCTCTATTTTCTGTTTGAATTAAAGGCTTGTAAATCTGTCTGTCGACCGTTGTCAAAATATCAATTGAGTATTCACTCAGGCTCCTGGTGAATCGGATGGCAAGTATCTAGCGTCGCAGGCAATATATTGCAATCCGGATGGGCGAGATCACTCATTACCGGGTTTACTCGTAGTAACGCGCCTTCCTCCAAGTGCCATATCACAACTCTCCACATATAAACAGGGTGATTCTCCTCCGCATTTCTCAAAGTAGCTACTAGCAAGATCTTGAAGCTGTACCATTGAAAAGTGTAAGAAAGTACATAAATGGGGGTTATCTAGCATACAGAGAGCTATTACTGCGACTGTGAATCCAATGGATGATGCGGATGGGAATCTCATTTACGGATGCTGGACTGAACCCAATCCGATCCGATCAACTCTCCTTGCATCCACCAGGGCGAACCCCCCCCCCCCCCCCCGGTTTTGAAAGGCCCAAACAGTCTCAGTGACAACGGACGATTTCGAGCCGAGCATCAATGTTGGGATAATCAGTAGCTTTTAGGTTGGCCTCATACCCTTGGAGACGATCAGAAGGAGCACTACCTGCCTTTTTAGTTGCTATCACAGGGCGAGTCCGTTTTGTGCCTACTTCATCCAAAAGTTGCTCTTTATGTTGTTGCGGAAGTCAAGCAACCTGAGGCACGCACTCGGCTCCCAACCTACATCCTCTCATCCAATGCAATGCCGAGAGAATCAGCCAAACAAGCCAATGTATGGTTAACATGAGGAAGAGCAAAGTGAGAAGTCTTGTGCAGTATTTCTTAAACGGGATTACCACCAACCCTGAAAACAGAGGTGAAAGAGCCAGAGGCCAGCAAGTTCCGTTAGGACTTATGTAGGGAATAATAAGGCACCGAGCCAAGTCGAGCCATTTTTGGCGCTTTCAAAAACCCTTTCCACAGGGTCGAGAGTGC